ATAAAATATAACTAAATAATTATCTAATAAAAATACAAGTATAAAATAACTAATATTAATAAAATATATATAAAAATCTATATTATAACAGTTTCTGGATTCTTAAATATTTTACTCTGTAAAATGAAAATAATAATAATAAAAAAAATATATGAAGTTTGTCTTTTTGCTGACATTTCAAAATATTATTTTCTTTTATGCCAGGTTTACATAAAAATAAATAATAATATTACATGTAGCCTACGGCCAACTCTGTAATGGATACTACAAATTATTACTATTATATGCAGTAACAGAAGAATTAAAAGACCTTGCAAAATGCCAATTTATAAACTTCAATAATAATATAATTAATCTTTCTAACTTAAACTTGCTTGGGTGAGATGAAAAACAAAGACCCAGATGCTTGTTCTATTAGATAAGTAAAGAGCAAAAATGTGTAAAGAAAGTATTCTTTTATAAAGAAGAGAAATATGATAAGAGTTTGATGATCAATATCTATAGATAAATAAAAGAATAATTTTGAAAAAATACACATGTAAACTTGAATTATTTAACTGGAAATAAATAAATAAACAAAATAAATAATTTCAAAAATCTTAAAAATATTAAAAATCTTAAAAATATTAAAAATCTTAAAAATAACTCAATTTTGGTTAGACTTATTAATACGGCCAACTTTGTACTATCTTTAATTGGTGCATCTGCATATTAAACTTTTCTGATTAGGCTTATTGATATAGCCAACTTTGTGCTGCCTTTAATTGGTACATCTGCACATTAAACTAAAAAAACTAAAAACTAAAAATCTTTAAAAACTTGAAAAATTTAACACTTAAAAACTAAAAATCTTCAAAAATATTAGGGATATTTGACTGTCCCCAAAGCCTAAGTTAAAAAAATGTATTTGTATAATCTCAAAAATAATTTCCAGTCAAAATAATTCAAAAATATATAATATAATTCCAAAATTATAACATAATTTCTTAATTAATGTTTGTTATCCTGTTAATAGTTGATACCAATCAAGTTTTTGCACCTATTAAAGAGTTCACATTAATAACAGGTTACTTCATTAATAAAAAATTTGTTGTGATCTACTTATTATTTCCTTGAAAAAATAATTTTTCTCTGAAAAATTTGAGTTTAATGTCAATCATAATTTCATGTAAATATTTGATATGATCTTTATAACTCTTAATTTATTTATATCATTCCTGAATTCTATTTTCAGATTTTCAGGTGACAGATCTATATTGTTATTGTATTAAGCTGCATTTTAATTATTAGATCAAGTATTATTATTGGGTGTCTTCACATAGAGATTTTGAATTTGGTTTTGATCAATCTTAGATTAGTTTTGGTTTGACGCAATCCAAACCAAATCCAAACTTTTTCACATGATTTCGTGATTCAAACCAATATCTTCATCATGCATTTTAGATTGCAATTTTAATTGGCTAATATTACCACGTATCTAAATTTATAAAAAATAGATAATGAAGCAATGAATAATAATAATAATGAATTAAATAATGATAATAATACCACAGCAATACTTGCACTTATTCAATCATGAAATGAATCATCTTTGTCTTCAAGCTCTTTTTCTTCTTTCTCATCAGAAGAATCTGAAGAAGATACTCTCGATATTATTGTAAATGTAATTAAGATTTTAGAAACAGAGCAAAAAAAAATAAAATCAAAAAATAATGTCAAAAAATTAGACAAAGAAGTACAGAATGGATTTTTATGAGTTTGAAATAGTCAAATTTGGAATTTAAAAGACATTATCAATTAACAAAATCAATATTTGAGTGATTATTTAATTTACTCTTTTCTTTTATGAATGATTTGGAAACATCTTTACGTGGATTACCTTTAGAACAAAAATTTGCTGCGACAATTTGGTGGCTTGGTAATAGTAGAACTTTGCGTGCTATATCAGAATTATGTAATATAGCAGAATCAACCTTTCATTATGCATCATATAATTTTATTGAGATGATTAATAAAAATTTTCTAGAAAATGAAATTAGATTAGTATTATATTTAAAATTAAATTTAAATAAAATATTATTAATTAATATATTTTTAAAAAAGATTTCCCGAAACAATAAATGAATTTGAAATTATAATCTGAGATTTTTCAGTAATAAAAAAATTTCCACGTGTTATTAGAGCAATAGATGGAAGTCATATACTAATTAAAGCTCCATCCAAAGATGCAATTGATTATTTTAATCGAAAGAAGTTTTATAGTATTATTTTACAAGCAGTATGTAATTATTAGTGCAAATTTCTTGATATTTATTGTGGTTGGGCAGGTGCTACTCATGATTCTCGAGTTTTACATAATTCATCTTTTTATCAAAGATTTTCTAATCCAGTAACATGATCAGGATCACCAAATTCTTATATACTTGGTGATAGTGGTTATGCAAATACTGATTGGCTTCTTGTACCATATCATGATAATGGATATCTTACAATAATACAACAATATTATAATTATGTGTATTTAGTAACTCATATTAGAATTGAACAAGCCTTTGATATTCTTAAATCATGTTGGAGAATTTTATATACACTAATTGAAGTTGAAACTAAAATCATATCAAGTATAGTATCTGCTTGTTGTATATTGCATAATATTTGTGAAAGTCATGGTGATGAAATTGAAGAAAGTTTATTGAAAGCAGATAATACATTTAAAAGACAAGAAAATATTAAAGAAAATTATAATGATAATAATTACGTATTTATTAGAGATTGTATAGCACATGATTTATATCAATATAAAAATAAAAAAATTATATATGAAGATGAAGATGAAGATGAAAATATCTTTTAAATTGAATAAAAGGTATGATAAGTATTAAATTTTTAAGAAAAAACTTATATCTTAATTTTAATTTATTTTTTTTAAAGTTAGATCAATAAATTTTGAAGAAAATTTAGAAGGAATATCAAAAACAGAAAAAGTTGATTGAAAAGATACATAATATGAAGAAATCAATTGAGTATTTGCAGAAGAAGAAGGAGGAGAATAAAAAGTAATATTTGAAGTGGTTGTTTTAAAAAAATTAAGTTTATATTAATAAAATATTAAATATTTCAATAAAAATAAAATATAATCATACCTGTTGAATTTTTATTATTCATTAATAAGTTAATTAAAAGCTTTCATTCTTCATCCCGATTTTTTTATCTTTCAGCTTTTGCTATTTCTTTTCTTTTTTTCTCTTCTTTTCTTTCAAGATCTCATTCAATTTTACATGCAAAAGTTTCTTCTAATATGCGCATATATTTGTTAATATCAGATAATCTTTTTTTCTTGATAATATGTTGTTCATCTGAAGAAGAATTATTTTCATCTGAATTAACATTTTTTTTTGTATTTTTCTTTCTGGTATATTGAATACTTTCAGAAGTATTAGTTGAAGTTGAAGAGGATGATATTATTGCAACAGGTTTAAATATTGCTCGTTCTTCATTTAAAAGATTATCAAGTTCAGTACGAAATGAAATAATTATTGCTTCACTATCACTTTGATTTTCTGTATCTTTTCTACTCTAAATTATATAAAATAATTTTATTTAATATTTACTTAAATAGTAATAATAACTATATACCTTATATTTTTGTGACAAGTTTTTGAATTTGGTAAAGTATTGTTGAGCCGTATAATTAAGATTGTATTGAGAAACTAAATGTAAACTACATTCTTGCCAAAGTGGTCCATTACCATTAGCCCTTCCATGTTCTTTTTTTAAAGCATCAAGAGCTTCTTTTTGAGTATTTAAAAATGCTAAAAGTGCTTTAGTGACACTTGTTTCCCATTTTATTGCTGGTGAATGAACAAATTGTGAAGAGTTAGAACTATTGGCAGCCATTATTAATGATTTAATATATTTGTCACATATTAAAGTTAAATTTGTCATATATTAAAAGTTAAATTTAACTCAATTTAAAAATTTAAGTTAAATTTAACATGATTAAAAGTTAAATTTAACATGATTAAAAGTTAAATTTAATGTGAATAAATGCATTTTATTTAATTTATTCTGGCCAATCTAACTTGCAAGCTAGATTTGATTTTTATATTGCACAATCAATCCAAACCAAAATTTTAGATTCATCAATCCAAACTAAAATTCATGTGAAGAAGATCGATCAATCCAAACCAATCCAAACCAATCCAAACTGTATGTGAAGATACCCATTATCTTCTTTATCTTCTTATAAGAGACATAAAAGAGAATTTTTCTTGTCTAAATCTCTTTTTCCATAGTTTCATCTCAATTTCTATGTGCCATTAGTTGACTGATACAGATTTTATTATTGTTATTATTGCAATAGTTATTGTCTCTTTTCTTTTTCTCTTTGTTTATATTTTATTTATATTTTGCAAATCTACTTTTTCTTTACGTCAAAAATTATTATTTTTCATTATTTAGGAGTTTACTACATTGTGAGAAGAGTGTTGGAAATCTGTTATATCATTTTCTTGCTTTGTTGAGTCATTTGGATAGCTTTATTACTTTTATTTTTCTTCTATTAAGTTATTATTTGCTTTATATAATAAAAGAAGAGAATTCACATTTTCATTTTTGATCACGTGACTTTCATCTACCCTGTAACATGTGACTTTTAAGGCTTGTGACTGATTTGCGTGGCTGATAATTTTCATTAATTTTGGCTGAAATTATAATGCATAATTTCTAAGTCACTTTAAAAAATTTTGTCGATCTATGATTTGATTGGTCAATACTTTTCATGTGATATGTGATCTCATGTGTCGATTGATAATGTTACCATGATTACATTATTATTTCTTTCATTTTGGTCTTTATTCTACTAATAATTCTTCTTTTCTTTAGTGAATTAGATGGTGAATGATCCCATTGTGTCCACAGAGAGGGCACCAAAATTTTGTTACCATTTTTGGTGCCCCTTGAAAAGATTATTTCATGATAGATTAATAGCTTTATATATAATATTTGCCTAGGATAATATATAATAAAGATATTATGAATTATGGGTGAGAGAGACTAATATAATCATAAATATAATGTAATAGACATTAGATTATGAGTATAATGAGGTTAAAGATAGGTAACAAGGGTGTGTTCATGATGTGGTCAGCTAGAATGAGATCTGGGATCATAATATAAGAAATGTATGATAATAAATAAGGTATTATTAATAAAGGTCATTAATTTATAACATTATTATATTTAAATTATTATTTAATTCATTAGTTTATTCATTATTTATTAATTCATTTTTTTATTTATTTTATTCATTAATTTAAATTATTTAATTTCTAATTAAGATACATTACTTTTATACATTTTAAAGGTTTTACAAATAATACTTTTGTTATGATCTAAATACTACTTTTGCTAGTGTCATAATGTCAGTTTTGTTATGATAACATTGCTAGTTTTGCTATGATAGTTTTGCTAACTTTGCTATGATAATTTCATTATAAACACTATGCTTGTAAAACTATCTAAAAATATCTACTAATAATACTATCTTAATTATTATTTAATAAAATATAACTAAAAATTGTCCAATAAAAATGTGAGTATAAAATAACTAATATTAATAAAATATATATAAAAATCTATATTATAATAATACTGCTCTAACATATCGCAGTATTGCATTAGTTATCCCATTCCTATCTCTCCAGCTCTTTAATAAAGTACTGTCACTTCTCCAGGCATCTCTCATAATACCTACCTGCCATGATGAGAGATAGTAAATATCTCACTCTCATATTTACCCATGAGTTACTTTCTAACTTTTCTGACTCTTTTAGAACACATACATCTTCTCTAGGTATCCTACTGCTAAAGCAGAGAATTAGTGAGATGCCTCCCACAATCACGCATCTCTCCCATGAAGTCCATCCTATATTTTCATGTTTACCTCCATATAAAGGTGTTTTAAAATTTTTCTTCAGCCTTTTAGACATCTCTATATGGGAGGTAATAAATATCTCACTCATCGCATTCACTCATGATTATATCTATTTTTATCTTTCTCTAGTCTTTAAGATATCTTCTATAAGAAGGTGATAAATACCTCACTCATCGCATTCATTCGTGATTGCATCCATATTTAATCTTTCTCTAGCCTTTTAAACATCTTCTATGAGAAAATAATAAATATCTCACTTATCGTATTCACCTGTGATTGTATTCTGAGTCTATTACTTTTGTTGACTTGCAATTATCATAGAATTCCAACCATTCCTTTTTGTCTGATTCTTCAACATCCTTCTCCTACCTAACCATCCTTCTACTCCTTTCTATTCAATCCTCTAATCATTCTTCTTCCTATCTAATTGTCTGGTTAGAAACATCCAAGCCCTATCAAGTGACAAGAAATTATCACTTAATAAGGCTGGAGTCAGATACTGTTACCATTTTTGGTACCCCTTGAAAAGATTATTTTGTGATAGGTTAATAGCTTTATATATAATATTTGTCTAGGATAATATATAATAAAGGTATTATGAATTACGGGTAGGAGAGACTAATATAATTATAAATATAATATAATAGACATTAGATTATGAGTATAACGAGATTAAAGGTAGATAACAAGGATGTGTTTATGACATGGTCAACTAGAATGAGACCTGGGATCATAATATAAGAAATGTATGATAATAAATAAGATATTATTAATAAAGATTATTAATTTAAAACATTATTATTTTTAAATTATTATTTCGCCTTATTATTATTTAATTTATTAGTTTATTCATTATTTATTAATTCATTTTTTTATTTATTTTATTTATTAATTTAAATTATTTAATTTCTAATTAAGATATATTACTTTTATACATTTTAGAGGTTTTACAAATGATACTTTTGTTATGATCTAAATGCTACTTTTGCTAGTGTCATA